AACCCGGCCACCCACCCCCCCCGGCAGCCCGGTCAGGCCCTGGCGGCCCCCCGCCCCCCCCCCCCCCGGCAGCCCGGTCAGGCCCTGGCGGCCCCCCGCCCCCCCCCCCCCCCACCACCCTCCCCAGCCCCCCCCGGGCGCCCCGCGCCCCCTCCGCGTGGCGGCCGCCGGCTGCTCCCCGCGCCTCACCGCGGGCCGGAGCGTGCGCGCCGCGTCTCGGGTGGCCGCCTCGGTGGCCGGTGCGCGGACTCTGCGTCCGGGTCCGGAGCAGCCTCCAGCCAGGCGGGGACGGACGCAGGGAGGAGGGAGGAGGCGGGGACAGAGCGGCGCCCAGACCGTACAAGGAGCGGCCCGGAGAGGGGGCGGGGACAGCAGGGGAGGGAGGCGAGGCAGGAAACTCCCCCAGGAAGGGGCCCCGATCCGGCCCCCGCCGCCCCGGCCGGGCACAGACCACCCCTCCCCGAGCACAGGCCTCTGATGTCATTTCCTGACCTGCCGCCCCTCCCCTCCTGGCCCGCGGGTGCCGGAGATATGACTCACTGTCCCCGCTCCGGGTTTAGCCGGCGGAGGTCGGGCCGGTGCCCCAGAAGCACCTAAGCAGACCCATCGCGCCCCCGCCACCTCAGGCCCGCAGTTACCTGCTCCCCCACCGCACCCCACGCTGTCCCCGGCTGCCCCTCCACCTCCCCGCCCGGCCGCCAGCCCCTCGCCCCAAATTCACGCAGGGTCAACCGGGGCTGGCAGGACTGGGATGCAACTGAGCTCCTGGGTAGACGGGGCGTTCGGCCTTCCTGAAGCCCCCTCCAGGCCTTTCTGGGACCGAGGCTGTACGTGCACGAACCTCAATAGTTCTTGGGGGACACTAACTTCCAACTCTGGGCAGCCTCTTAAGTCTTCTAGGAATTCGCATCACCCGCGCCTCCGCCCGCGGATCAGTTGCGGAGGGAGAATCCGGCCCGCGGAGAGGTGGGTGGAGGTGGGTGGAGGTGGGTGGGAGTGGGAGTGTCTCCAGATGATTCTGGACCCGGGACGACGGAGGTGGACGCGGGCTACATATCTTCGACAGTTTTCCGCGCCCACGGCGACCCACACCCTCAAGAAGCCTTTGGACTACGGTGGGGCTCTAAAGAATTCGGAGACTGCGCTCGGTGGAGCCCCCTACTGGTCCGAGCGGATTCCTCAGCCTGCCACTCTGTGCCCCGGGCTACGCGAAAGAGACCAGACCCAGGCTTTTTTTTTTTTTTTTTTTTTTTTTATTGCACACGGAAACTTACCTAATCGCTGCTGGAATTCTTTCACGCTAACTACCTGCTACCTGCAAACTCTGCAAACTATGGAATCCTGGCCTTTCGCTCTCTGGTCCAGAATACCCACCCTCGGGCGCTTCCTTTTCTCTCTTCCTGCCAGCCTTTTACTGCCATCTAAGGCAGTCCTCTTGTCCACGCCCTACTCAGTTCCTGTCCCTGGCAGTCCGAATCGGCAACACCCTACTGTCAAGGAGCATCTGGTCTACACTTTGGATGATCTCATCCAAACTAACCGCTTAGACTTGTGATAAGAAAACGGAAGCTGAGCTCTGAAGATGAGCCAGGGTCACACCGAGGTAATGCAGGGTCTGGACTGAAGCGGTGTCAGAGCTCATTCCCCGTACCCTGTTGTCAGCGAGATGGCATTCTGACCTCACTCTGCCAAGACCCAGCTCGATGCCCAAACCAAGTCTCCATTCTTCCCATCTCCGTCTGTAAAAGAGGGATGAAATTTAATCGACCTATCTTATTGCACTGTACAGATGAACAAATGAAAGGCCACATATGAACGTGCTATATAATTTTTAGTATTATTATTCAAGTCCCAGTTCTGCCCAGATCCCACTGATCTTTCTTTTCTCTAGCACCTCGTTGTCTTTGTCACCAGTATTTCTCACAGCCGCGAGCATGTGTGGCCATGTATGATAGTAAGTACACAGTGTATACCTTCTCTCTGACACACACAAGTTAGTCCTGGGCCTGTCCCTGTGAAGATCTGTTCGAAATTTGATACTAGATTTCCTATGCATGTTAGAGATTGTGACTTAGGCTTTATAGACCAAAAGTGTCGTCACCAATTCTTCAAACTATGCCTTCTTATGGAAAAAAGTTAAAAAGATAGTTTCCAGATAACTTCATAGGAGTAAAAGCCACCTACCCTCCCTTATGTCTCCTTAAGGAAAGTGTATGTGCAAAATAGAGTACGTGTAATTAATTGTTAGGCAGCCAAAGCTATTTATAAATCAAGAATAGAAGAGAGCAGTAGGCAGGCTTAGTTTTACTGACAACGAAGAACATTCAGGATGAAGAACATTAAAGCTAAAACTTTCTTAAACCAGCCATTCTAAATACAAGTAGAAACACACAGAGTATCCCAGAAGGACAGAATCACTGGCCCAGATGTCTCAAGTGGAGCTGCAGAGTCAATGCCATTAAAATGCAGACAATGAACAAGAGCAGTCCTGAAGATTCTTAGGTATTTTCCTTAAGTGAGCAATTCTAATTGATGTCTTCAGGGGTATGTGTAAAGTGTACAAAGTAAGTAGATGTCCCACCTAAAACATCTCCAACAGCTTGGGTCTGGGCCAGGGTGACAAAGTAAGAAACCACGCACTGACCTTCACTGCCTGAAACATCTCTACACACCTCCAAGGACTTACATCCACCAGGTACCAGAAAGTTTTCTTCAAGGGGACATACATAAAAAAAGAAGTTAGAAGCAATCAAGGGAGAAAAAGGACAAAATTGTTCAGACCCCTATACTGGCCAGCTGCCAAAAAAAAAAAAAAAAAAAAAAAAAAAAGAGGAAAAGAAAGAACTAGGATAGTGAAAAATAAATGAACTCCAAAATGAAAACAGATTGCTGACAGGAGCTTCTTTCCACAGGCTGGCTGCAGAGCTGTCTGCAGATGACAGAGGAAGGGTTATGTGCCAGGCACTGTGCTAAGCTCCCTTAACAACAGCAACAACATCTCCTCCATAACAACAATGGCAACAACTGTAATAACAGCACACACTTAGTAATGCTCAGTATGTTGTTTTAGGTGCAATGATAAGCACTTTAAATGTACTACCCCTATTTAAACGTCACAATGAACCTGTGAGGAATATGCTTTACTATCCCATTTATCAGTTAAAGAAACTGATGCCAACTAGTTATTGGATTTTCCACTTCTTAAACTGCACAAAAAATTTTTGCAACACAAATATTCTGTTATTTTAAGAAACTCCTGCTCCCTGTTCCTCCCATCCTCCTTCATCAAGTTTGCCTCCAACCCAACCCCCTACTTTTACATCCTCGGGTTTTCTCTATCACATGACACCATCAAATTCTGTGTGTCTATCTGCATGTGTATACACGCACACACAAATGTTATACATGCTTTTGTATAATAGTACAAGGGTACCTCAAAAAGTCCATGGAAAAATAGAATTAAAAGATAATGCGAATCTTTCTATGGAATTTTTGCAGTACCCTCATACATTTCCAGAAGGCTAAGGGCGGTTAGCATTAGGGTGTAGAATGGGAGAAGGCAGAAGGCTTTTATACTGTCGTGTTTTTCCTTGTGAACATGCATGACTTTTATAATCGAAAAAAAGGAACAGAAAGAGAGAAATGAAAGCACCATTCTGCCTTTTTCCTGAATCCGAGGGCTTTCCTTGCACTGAGCACTGTGTGCACACACACAGCCTGCAGCCTTCCCAAATACACTGCCCTCCTAGACCCACCAGCACTTGGTCGTCAGCATGAAAGACTCTCTCCCTGGTGCGGCTGCAGATACAGCAGCGGGAATGGGGATGAAGTGAGAGTGAGACACTCCACAAGACCCAGGGATCTTTGCAGCCAAGGCCAAGGACAGGCAGTTTCCTGCTCTTCCAGGAGCCACTCCCCCACCAGAAGGGAGGGACTGACAACCACAAATGCCCCTCACCCCTTCCTCCTTTCTTCCAGGATAAGCCCAGGAGGCTGACATCAGAGCATCATCCTCTGTGCACTTTCCCTCCCATTTTTCAACCTCAGTGCAACCAATATTTACCAAATAACTTCTATATTCTAGGCACTCTGAAAATAAAGATAAATAAAGCCGGTTCTTACCCTCAAGAAACTTCTCATCTAGGGGAAAAAAACATGTAGATAGTATTACTATAATAAGATATGTGTTAGGATTTTTTTTAAAAAAATTGTTCTAATCGGGCCGGCCTGTGGCTCACTCGGTAGAGTGCGGTGCCAATAACACCAAGGCCACGGGTTCGGATCCCATGTAGGGATGGCCGGTTCGCTCACTGCCTGAGCGTGGTGCTGACAACACCAAGTCAAGGGTTGAGATCCCCTTACCGGTCATCCTTTTTAAAAAAAAAAAAAATGTTCTAATCACCTCTCCAATAGTGCTTGCTTGGTGTGGCTGCACTAATCACAGTAGCTGGGTGGCCTGCTCACCATGGAAACCTCGTTACTATCCCACCAGGTCAGAAGCAGCAGTGAGGATTCCAGCACCAGGCGAGGAGAGTCTGCACAGGGCATCTCCGAAGCAGAGGGAGCAGAGGTCAGAGGATCAGGAGAACGCAGGAGTCCATCCAGACCTGGGCCAGATGGGCACCCAAAGGCACTGAGAGCATCAGCAGCCAGAAATGTGGGGACTTGTGGGGAGCAGAGCCAGGCAGATGGTCAGATGGTGAAGAGTCAGCAATCAAGGGAGCAGAGAAGGGCAGACAGGAAAAGAGACCTAAGGCCCCCACAGCAGCACAGGCGGGTGGCTGGCACCAAGGCAGCCTCGAGTGGACCATCTGCTGCCCTCCTCCTCCCTGCACCCAGTGGAAGCCAAAATCAGAGAGAGCCTGGCCTAGAGACTGTCACTGAAAATAGCCAACAGAGTCGCTGAAGGGAGGAAACATCTCAGGGGGTGGGGGTTGGATATGGATAGCCAGCCTATCTTGCTCAAGATGAAAAGTACATTCATCTCGTCTCTCTGGTTTCTCCCCTAACTCCACTCCCTGTTATAAGGTGGGCTTAATATGAAGAAACCCACCTGGCTGACCTGACTGAGGAAGTGAGCAAACCCTCAGCACTTGCTCAAGCTTCCCTAGGCTGCACTTCCTGCCACGCTGCTTATTATTTAGCTCGCCACCCAGAGACAGGACCAATGTGGTGAACAGACACTGTCTCAGAAAAAGGGAAGGGGTCTGCCAAGAACAGCAGATGCTTAGACTTCTCAACATGCTCGAGCAAGCCA